GTATGTTGTTTATACTCTTTGGTTCTTTCAGTAAAGTCACGTAGGTGCTTTCCCACCTGATGATGTACGCTTGTGTTGCGCCCGAAACGTCGTGATTTATTTTATTTTATACCTACGTGACTTTACCGAAAGAACCAAAATTATGGATTCCTGCAGTCACAAAAGCTTCAAATCAAGATATGCTGTTTATATTTAATATTGTTAGGACAATACATGTGAAGACAATAAATTGTGCACAGAAGAGTTTTATCTGCTGTATACCTGAATGTGGCACAATGGGCAGCAAATTTCACGATGGACCTGCAATGAGTTATATTCCTGGTCACTGCGAACATGAGTGGCAAATAAATATAACTTTTTTTTATTTTACCAGGTCAGGCCAACTGAGCTATACAGCTCTTTTTCAGAAGCGATCTGGCCACAAATGATAGCTCAATGAAGTGGTTTATCATGTGAAAATATCTAGCAGCCAAATACTCTAATCGAATGTAAAAAATGCAGAAGGAAAAACCAGAGGACCCGGAGAAAAATCCACGAGACACGGGGAGAACATGCAAACTCCAAATATACAGGATGCAGGATCGGGATCGAATAATCCAGGACCTCCTGTATACCAGGCAAAGAAGTAAACATCTTGGCATATCTGAACCAGGCCTGGGTCCCCTCTTCACCAACCCACACTGATCAAATGCGGTGTAGATCCTCAATGACCCGACACGGTGTGAGATGGCCTTCATCCAGCAGTCAAAGTCCAAGCGATAAAAAATAAATACCTGAATATGTGATTAGTTTGAAGTTTTGTGGTGGTGGTGCATGCCAGTAACTTGCTGCACTAGAGGGGCGGGGGCGGGGGGCTTAAGGCATAATCTGCTCGGCTGAGGTAGCCAGGTGGTAGAACATTGAGTTCTTGTGTGTAGCTGGTTTTGCCTTTGTGCCCTTAAATACAGGGGTGTTCCATGTGTAATAAAGGACTCTTCAACAGTGTAGATCTCCGTTGTCCTTTATTCGGGTTCTTGTCTCTCTCTCGCCCCTACGGCGTCCTCGCTCAGACCCGCACCTCCACCGTACACCCTGCAGCCACACTGCTGCTCCGCTCCGCAGCTACACCGCTGCTCCGTCTGCAGCCACACCGCTGGTCCGCTCTGCAGCCACACTGCTGCTCTGTGTGCCCCGCACACTCTGCTAGCTCTTCATGCCCGGCTAGCTTCCCACACTCCACTAGCTCTGCTGTGCCCCACGTACACCGCTGGCCGACGGTGCCGTGGCCTTCCACCACGTGACAATCGCGCCACCCTCTCGCCACTGCCGAGCGTGGCCTCCTCCTGTTTCCACTCCTTCTCAACTCCCAGATCCATTCCGGTTCTCCCCCTAAATCCTCTCTCTCACGTGACCCTGACTCTTCCTCCTCCACCCGTGACCCAGACTCCGCCCCCTCATTCCTTGCTCGCATTACACATGTTTGCAAAACATTAATACATTGGACGCCCCCCCCCCACTCCTACCATAATCATTTACTCAATTTAACCCTGCTGTATAGTGTTTTAGTATCGCGATTATTTCTTCATTTCGAATATAGACAGTTATATATTTTTATGGTGGTTCGTAAGGCTGAAATGTTTATTTAAACAACACAGTTGTATTTGTGCTGAAGGGAGGGTGAAGGGGTGGGGAGGGTGACGGGGTGGGGGATTGTTACCGAAAGAATGACGCAACTACTGATGTAATGGAAGTTTTCTGTGCATTGTAACGGAAACCCACCCCCACCGCCTCCCATGTGTGATCTATGCTTGTCGTGTGCGGTCCATTGGCGTCTATAACACTCGCCCATTGGCTATTGTTGGCTCGTCGGCAATGACACTCCGCCACATGTTGCACAACTGCCCATTCTGTTGACTTGGGAATAGCCAACTAGCAGCCACCTCCTCCCATAATGTCAGTGTTTAAAACGCAACAATGACATTATTTGCAAACCCAAGAGTTCGTGCACGTGCAGCAAATACAGGCATTCATTAATTATGTTTGTTTCAATAAAGTGGAAAAGGCAAATACCCAGGTAGATTGGCGAGCATTACATAACTTGTGAAAATATATTATCTATTGGTTATACATTCCACGAGTCTACTTGTGTGAATAGGAGCTCTATCGGACGTGTTTTTCCGGCGACAAAGGGAGCAAGCCCAGTGTCACTGATTATATTCACGAGATTATCCACTTCAATTGTCCAACTTTCACAAAACCTCTGTGCAGTCGTGGCAACTCACGAATGTTCTCCGTAAATGAATTGTCGACTTTGCCAATATACTCTTAGGTTTTTTCGGTGAAGCCACGTAGGAAAAAAATAAATGATAAAAATAAATAGTAAAAATAATAGAAATAAAATAATAAATCACGACGTTTCGGAGGCAACACAAGCTTCCGTCACAACACAATTGCTGTATCAAGTACTACTACTTGATACAGCTATCGTGCTGTGACGGTTCCACCTGAAGACGGAAGCTTGTGTTGCCTCCGAAACGTCGTGATTTATTATTTTATTTCCATTATTTTTTCTATTATTTTTTCTTATTATTTATTTTTTCCCTACGTGACTTTACCGAAAAAACCTAAGAGTATGAATCCTTGCAGTCACGAAAGCTTCAAATCTAGACTTTGCCAATCATGAATTAACGACATGCCGGTTGTACTTTGGGTCAATCATTGGAATGTGGCCGAGGGTCGTTACCAATAATTATAATATAACATTCGCGTTGTGCCATCGGTTGAAGGGGTCCCACATTTATTCCTTGAAATTGTGTCTGTGTCTATATATCTGGATGGCTTCATGAACGAATCTTTGTTGATAGCCAGTGGGTTTGCAGAGTACCTTCGTCTTGGAGAAATCCATTTTGTGTGAGCCCACCGCATTAAAACAATGATCAGCCACGGCTGAGGTATTGGTCCGACCGTATTTCAGATCTGCCTTATGTTCACGAACACAGTCCGAAACATGTCGCTTAGTTTCCCCAATGTAACTACTGCCGCAGGCACAGCTTAATTTGTAGACGCCGAGGTATTGCATGTCAGGGATCACATTTCAACCAAGAAGAGGGGTACAAACTGAGCAATCATTGGAAGGACGTTATTAACCAATGTAAGTCATAACTGGCTGTGATGTTTCCATTCTACCTTCCGATGTTAGCAGTTATTTTCGACTCTCTGATTTTACATTAACAGGTTCACACTAACACAGCCGCCGTTTACATTGACATGCTAATCTCTTACATTGACATGCTAATCTCTCTCACTTTAACATCACTAGCCCCGCCCACTTCGTTTATGACCCTTGGGCTACACCCATTTCAAACCTTTAAAACAGCCTGCCTCGGCAGCTTCCCACCCCCCTTTTCTCTCTTGATGACGATTGCTTGTGTTGCGATCGAAACGTCGTGATATTATTTTTTTTATTCACTTTATTTTCATTTTTATTATGTTATTGTTCTATCTACGTGACCTTATCGAAAGACCCAAATAATATAAAAAAACATGCTTATGGACTGTAGGGTAAGTGCGTTAGCGAGCATTGAATGCTGGCGAGGATCAAGTGACTCATGAGTATTCAACAAGGGTGGTGAGGTGGTCAGCAGGTTCACTATTAATTTACCAAAGCTTTTCCGAGCAAAAAAAATATGGCCCATACACACCTGCTGTTTTTTTTAAGCCTTGCAATTCACCAGTGTGTGAACCTCAACAGTTGGTTGTATGACCTCTGTAAATAGGTAAGCGAAAAAGCTTTATAGCTCATCGGATTCCTCCAGGATAAATATTGATTCGGATTCAGTTGAGTTCCTCAAGATACCTGAATTTAAATACTATAATTACAGCAAGACAACTGATATGCATTTACCAACCATAACAATTAGCGTTATTTAGATTTTTCTTTCTAATTCGCCTTTTGTCCGTCCAAGGACGGGTGCATTGCAGTAAATCTGAAACTTGCAAGTGAAAAGCAGACCGCGACGTGATATTCATTGCATCCATGTGTGTGCAATTTGTAAGGGCGCGGTGACACAGACCTATTTCATTTGAAGGATATAATCCCTTGTTCATTATGACGTCCTTTTTACTTTGATGTCTCAATAGCGTTACGGAGATCGCGTGACGTGAGGGTTCTGCCTTTGTCGTGAGGGTTGTAAGTTGACGCCGAGGGGGGAGGAGGCGCCTCGCCCCTCCCATGTAGTGACATCAGCTGCTAATTATTATGAATGGAGGGGGTGTGTCCATTTGGAGGACGTCACCTTATGATTCTTGAGGGCTGTTCGATGTGAAGTGACGTCACCTGCTCATGATTATAAATGAGGGGGGGTCCATGTGGAGGATGTAACCTGTTCATGATTATTGAGGGGGGCTGGTTGACGTGGAGTGACGTCACTTGTGCACGATTATTTGTGAAGGGGGGGGGGGGGGAGTACTCCATATTGAGTGACGTCACCCTGCTCCTGATTATTGAGGGGAGGGGGGGGTGTCCATTAGGAGGACGTTGCCTGCTCATGAATGTTGGAGGGAGCTGGTCGATGTGGAGTGACGTCACGAGCGTTAAGGACAGACATTCCTGGGTGATTATAATAGGTATGTTTCGCCTCCAGCGATGTATTATCTGTCGCAATAAAACATTGCGGGTATTCGTGGACTCGACTCTTAAAAGTGTACGAAAACAAACGTTCAGACAACTTCCCATTTACATGAAAGGACTCATTATTTGACTACTGATGTGCACTGAAATAAACCCCCCACTTCAGTTTTCAAAACGATTCATCATACTTTAAAAACAAATTAACTTTTTCATTAATAAAAACGAGCAATGGACTCATTCAATTAATTTGTCTAACATAAAAAAATATCAGTTAATCAAATTCTCCTTTACGGCACCTTTTTGTACAAAACATTTTTAACCACCGAAAATAATGTCAATCGTCCTAAATCTATGACGGCCACATGAAAACATTTACTCAAGAATGCCTCTCTGCTTGGAACAGGTATGATTTATTGACATGCGACTGACTCATCAGGGCAATTCTGTCAATTCAGACACAAAACAGTTACACAAAATGAAATCGTTCACACTACTCTCCAGACGCTACACATTTCTTAAATATATCATACACTGGGTATAAAGGCTGCGTATTTTCACATTTCTGCACTGCCGACGATTACTTGTCCACATCATTAAGTGAATGCGATTCGCTGCAGCGAGTCAGAAACTAAGCGAAGTTATGGGGGAGTCGAAATTCCTCCCGGCTCCCAATCAACAGCAGCTACAATGCCGTTATTTACAAGAAACTGGTGACATTAGTTTCTGGTTACATTTGTATAAATCACTCGCTACAAGGCATTGAAATAATTTATTAAAATGCAGCAATGTAATAAATTAGTATTTCATTGTAAAGCATTTTAATAAACAATTAGATAACCGCTTAGAATACAGCAATTTTGTTGGAATGCTTTACAGTTAACCGCTGTTTAAAAGCACCACAAAATGTTAGAAACTTGCGTCGTCACCTTTTCAAGCGTGCGATTTGGATCACTCACAAACCTAAAGTAAAAAAGCACAGCCACTGCATGCAACATTCAGAAACCCTCTGAATAAACAATAAATAAAAATTAACAATGTAGTCAGTCATACAAATACTATTTCAGAAAACATGGGCAGGATGGGGGGGATTCCTGAAAAATATATCTGTACTTGTACAACAGACTTGTAAAAATGCACACAGTTGGTCCTCAATGCGATAGCATAACAAGGCATGTGTTTTGGTGAAGATGGAAATTTTGAGCAGGTCTCCAACGGGACAGGGAGAACAGGCTGGGCTGGCTCTTGCACGCTCGCTCGGGTCGTGCGCACTTCTTGGGGGCCCCTCGCACAGAGACGGCTCTGGCCGGACAGCCATGGTCACATCAGCTGCAGGTAGTGTAGCGCTGCAGAGATGTGTTGTGGCATGAAGACGTAGGCCGTGTACACGGCCATGCCCAGCACCGCCAGCAGGAACGAATCTGAGCGTTAAGTCAAGGCTGCACACGCGAGGACGGCATCCGACAACACACAAAGATCCTCCGTATAGTATTTTACAGGCTGTTGCAGCGAGTACTGTTCGCAGGCACATATTAAGGCCATACAGTGCACGATGGATGGGGTGGTGTGGCCAGCACCATGCCTGGCTGTTGTTCACACCCCGTGGTAGGTACTCGTATAAGACTGAATTGACATAAGGGAGGCCCAGGACGGTTCAGATATTTGCCAATGATGTTGATCGTGGTGAAAACCGTTGCACCACCACTCCACCACAGCAAAGAACTCGTTAAGAGCATACACACGGCCACTGCTGAAAGCAAAGTCTGAAGAGACAGTCACGCGATAAGTGGAACTTATCCTTCAGTCCAACTCATTATCTTTGCTGGCAGGGCAATAAGTGCTCTACAGTGATATTATTCATTTTGGCTTTGACTGTTTTCAAAAATCTAACCCGAGGGGAAGATTAGGATTGGTCAAGTTCATGGAAAAACATGAACGTGAAGTTTCAGTCACCAGTTGACAAGTGGACCATGCCATCAGTTGTGGTAACGTTTTTTTAAAATTATGTTCTGTATGTTTGTTGGCAAAGTTATAAATTTCTTTAGTAGTCAGTCTCAGCCTTATATGGACAGTTTTCGATTTTTTATATACTTGTGTAACTAGCTATCATTCTGTACCTAAATATTTTCAGAAACATGTAGCTTACCTCTTTACCTAATAAAAACAGTGTAATTGCATCCATGTCATATTACGGCCACGATTAGCAACTTCCAAGCACGCGGCTTGAATAAATGACAAGGACTTTGTTTACACAAATAGCCAATGCCCCCAAGGCATCTCGGGAGTCAGGCACTCTATCCACAATACATCATAAACATGCCAAAAGAGTCCTGTAACTCAGCCCCAAGCTCAAAGTTCATGACCACCCACATATTTGTTGATTCACTGAACAAGGGTGGGCATGCTGGACATTGAAATACTGCTGCCGAGGCGTCACCAGCTGCGATGGCCACTGTGTGGCGGCATTCCAATCGCTGGTTATCAGGAACTCGCCCAGCAGAGGGCCCTAATAAGGCAAAGCCGTTGACCGTGAAGGATGCATTCAGCCGCATACGTCTGTTTAGCTAAGACCCGTTCCTGCATCAAATACCATACGCTTGAACATAGTTAAACCAATGATAACATTAACTGCAAGCTTCTTGCAACAACCATCGTCTTTTCGACGTGCAGCTTGTATTAGCTGGGTGGGGGTCGACCCACGCATATTCGGAATTTGAGTGGGTGTTAATTGACCTTATTTCACCACGCTGGTAAGTGCGGCTTAATAAATGCGGGAATCATACACGTGGAAGCAGAGGCATTGCACACTATAATGGAATTGCCTGGACAACAATCTGATAACCGCGACGGCTGTTATGCATGAGGCTCGGGCGCATTCCGGGTGATGTGGTTATAGGGGCGATGTGGTTATAGGGGCGATGCTGCTGCTGCTGCGAGATCGGCCGGGGTTACCGTCACGCCAACTCCGGTCATCATCGCAGCGGCTTCTGCCATCGAACACAGACGATGGGGGGGGGGGGGGTCACCGCATCGCGCGCTTTCAGATGCGCTGCTGCTGCGGCCGTCTGGAACGTTCTTCCTTTCGACACGATGAAGCAACTGGAGGAGCTATGCACTTTTTAAACAAACTACTTGCTGTGTTTAGCTTGTTGTCCTTCCTACGCACCTCCGATGAGCACGGTCGGGTGCCCCCCTGCTGCTGCTGCCATCGCGATACACGTTTCGCTGCGGGTTGCCGACCCTCTCCGGACCAGCCGGGAGGAGGCTCTACCGGGAATGACAAGGCGATTAGAATGTGATGGTTGTAAGAAAACAAAATACGCACGGGCTAGCTTCAGTGAAGAGTTTGCAACCCTTGTCTGGTCGGCGATGCTCAGCACCGCGGGTTGTGGAACTCTTCTTGAAGCGACTCGGCGCGTGTTTGTGTCCTCGCCACCGTGCGGGGCCCGCCTCTGGTGAGCGTCGTCGTCGTCGTGGTTGTTAATCGATAAGCGAGAGAAACCGCGTGGCGCTGGCAGTCTTTCCCATCACCTCGCCCAGCCCCTACCCCAGCCCCAGCCCCGCCGCGACTCGACCGCCTCACGGCGACCCCCGCCTCCACGTAGCGGACCCGCGCGTTCGAGCCGCGGCGCACACGCGGCCCGCACGAACCACGCACACGCGGCGTGACCACCACACGGAGCGCGCCTCCCGTCAGGGCCGCCGTGGCGCGGATACTGAAGGCGGTTCGCTCCCAGGGCTCCAGCATGTAGAGCGCCGTGACGAGCAGGTACTGCTGGTAGACGCGCGACAGCCGCTCCCACGTTCGCAGCGCCATCTCGCCTCCTCCTCCTCCTCGCTCTGCCTCACTGCGAGAAACAGCCCCGCCCCTCACCCGGAGCCCCGCCCCTCACCCGGAGCCCCGCCCCTCACCCGGAGCCCCGCCCCTCACCCGGAGCCCCGCCCCTCACCCGGAGCCCCGCCCCTCACCCGGAGCCCCGCCCCTCACCCCGGAGCCCCGCCTTAATTACTCAGGAGCCCGCCCCCTCCTCCATGCACCCCGCCCCCTCACCCGGAGCCCCGCCTCCCTATCCCAGGAGCCCCGCCTTCCTCACCCCGGAGCCCCGCCCCTCACCCCGGAGCCCCGCCCCTCACCCCGGAGCCCCGCCCCTCACCCGGAGCTCCGCTTCTCACCCCGGAGCCCCGCCCCTCACCCCGGAGCCCCGCCCCTCACCCCGGAGCCCCGCCCCTCACCCCGAAGCCCCCGCCCCTCACCCCGGAGCCCCGCCCCTCACCCCGGAGCCCCGCCCCTCACCCCGAAGCCCCCGCCCCTCACCCCGGAGCCCCGCCCCTCACCCCGGAGCCCCGCCTCCCTATCCCAGGAGCCCCGCCTCCCTTACCCAGGAGCCCCGCCCCCTATTTCAGCCCTCGCGACAACTGCAACCCCGCCCCCCTGCCCACTATCAGCCCCGCCCCGTCGTTGTGGAGGCGGGGCTTGAACCGAGGCGAGGTCACGTGTCATACGACTGGGGTAGCGGGGGAAGGGGGGGAGGGAGAAGGGGGAGGGGTTCCCCCCCATCCTGCTCTCTAAGCCCCCGCCCCGCGATTCAATTCCGTAGAGCGCACGCGTGGCGAGGCGCCACGCGATTGGTCCTTCCGCGCGCGTGTCAGTGCGCGCGCGCAGACAGACCGGGGCTCTGGCGCGCGATTGGTTGCGGCGCGCTTTGGCGTCGAACAAATCGAACCAATGAGGCGGCGGCACAGAGCGCGCCACTCCTATGCGCAGTGGGGATTGTGAGCGGCGAGTCGCGGCGATCGAAGACCCGCGCCTGGCCTGAGCCGAGCCCCGCCGAGTCGCCTCCCCGTGCAGCCGAGCCCGCCCGCGGCTCGACACGCCGAGCCGGGCACGCCGAGACACTGCCCAGCACCACCCAGCAGAGTCCCGCTCCGCTGAATCCCACCGAGTCGTCTCCTCCACAGGACCGGGCCTTGAGGCCCCCACCCTGTGCTGGGAGCCGGCCCCGCTCGGCTGCGCGCCGCCGCCGCCGCCGCCGCCTCCTCGCCCGGGCCCCGCTGGTCGCGCGCGGCCCCCTCTAGGATCGCGGCGCACCATGGACCCGTCGGGCAGCAGCATGTCGGGCAGCATGTCGGGCAGCATGTCGGGCTTCTCTCCCAACCTCGGCTCGCAGCAAGTGCGTGCGCCGCCTGAGGCGCAGGGCCCGTCTCGTGGCCGGTGTCTCCCAATCTCGCGTCTCCTCTGGGGCTCTCGTGTTCTCTCTCGCATGGCTCATCATAACCTCCTGTCCACTACCTCCTGGATCCTCTAGCCCTCTCCGCCCTCCCGTCTCGTGTTTTCTGTCTGTACCCTGTCTGTCTCTCCTGTTTGCGATCTCTTTTCTCATCTTTCCTGTCTCATCGCTCGTCTCCCTCGCCGTACAGGATTCCCACTGTCTACCCCATATTATCTCTTACGTCTTCACGTCTCTTATGTTCACCTCTCGTGAATCTCCCCGTCTTGTTTCCGTTCCCCCTGCTGCTCTCCCTTATGCTTCTCTCCCCCTAATATGCAACTCTGCATATTAACCTCCACTCTACACTTTTCACTATTACAAACAGGCTATCCTGGTCTCTTGAGTTCTCACCTGGTTAACAAAATTAACTTGTTGAACCTTTCCGTCTCTTCATTCGGTCCCATGATTGCTTCTCTTCTGTTCCCAATTTTCGTAGCCCTGTAAATGTGACATGACGCGTATTGAAAAAGTAGAGCTCTGAACGCGCTGATTGTGCGAAATCCATTCAGAAATTAATTTGGTCTTATTGCAGGTAATCATTCTGTTAACACTGAAGTATTGAACATGTGGAGGCTTAAGCCTTTTGCCTCATATTTAGATTGTAATGCCTCCATTTGCCAGTGTTCACGTCGTTTTCGCTGAGGAATAGCCTCTAAGTGACTTCCCGAATGAATAAGAGATTCGTCATTCATTTACAGTCTCATATGAAGACAGACGTGCTACCACCGAGCTTGAAGACTAACACCTTCGTGTTCAATTCCTGGAATGCCAGCTGAAGTTTATTTTTTTATTTACACTCGTGAAAGAAAGGCTGACGTTTCCAGATGGTCTTGCATGCTTGGGTAACAACCCAGCCTTTTCCCGTTTTGTAAGGCCATTGCGCAGACAATATGCTTCCAAAACGCGATGGCATTTGTGTTTACACAGAAGCCGAAATCTATTTGCAGAAAATCTCTTATTTGTACAGCACGAGTAACCGGAGAACGTGCGGTCATGTTGGGCCAAGCGTAGTGTGGTGCTTTCCAATGTTTTTGTTGCAGCCACCCTGAGTATTTTCAGTGCCTAATGTCACAGGCTTTAATATCTGGGTTTTATCAGAAGGACACATTTTTTAAAATAATTCCCTGCAGATGTTACAGGGCAGCTGTGGTGGTTCACCCACGGTTTGTTTCCGGGTCGGCACAGCAAATCGCTGGGTAAAAATAAAATCACTCCTAATTTGTCGTGAGGACCTTGGCTCTGATATGTTCGTGAAAAAAAATCTAAAAGTGCAATTAGCTTCGCACAAGTATCATTGTTAAATTATCCCCCGCTTGTTGGAATATGTAAGCCTCTGCTGTTCTGCACGCAGCAACATTGTTTTTTATATGAAAAAGAATACTGGCCCCCAGAATTGTGATGTGGTTTTTCCACCGCTGCTAGCAGTGAAGAGCAATGCCTAAAAGTCATTACAGAATGAACGCACTGGTTTTTCGGTTATCAATTCGTTATTAAAACAATTACCAACAATGCAGCCAGTTTCCATAATGCCATTTTGTATGTGCTTATATTTTTTTGCTGGTGGTTAACATCATACTACAAACACATCTTTGACCAGGCCAAATGTGTTGTGCATGTTAATGGGTGTGCGCTTTGCGGGCAGGGTGGGATGACGCCTGGGATGCCGCTCTTCAGTCCCATGATGCCCTACGGGACGGGCCTCACCCCACAGCCCGTGCAGGGCTCCTCCATGGGCATGGCGGACGATCAACAGCAGCCCCAGGCTGGGACATCGCAGCAAGACAATGGAGCCTCACAGGTATGAGTGTGTTTTGAGTGCATCTATTCATGGGCACCTGCAATATGCTTGTTAATAAGCTGCCATTGACAATAACAAACACTGCCCTGCCACTAATGGGTACTCTTTTTATTGATCCCAGTGGGGTGATTGGTTATGTCTGTCCCCGACCGACATTTCAACTTGTGACCTCACAGTGTGAAGATATTTTTAAAAGGAGTTTCTGCCAATATATGGCAGACATTGTCATTTCTACTTTTTCTTCACTGGCCTGATTATTCTCTACCAGAATCCGGTGTTAATAGATTTGCTGCCAACACATTAATCTGACTGTGTCTTACAACCAACAAAGAAAATGTCTTTACAAATGTAAATGAACGTTTTTTTTTAATAGAAATACTGTTTCAGCCAATATTTGAATAATAATATCCCAAATGGTAGTAATTCAAGTGGATCTGGTCATTATTCCACCAAAAATGGTAATAAAGGGGTTTCCACCAATTCCCAAATCATGCCTATATAGTTTTATCTCATTATGGTGGAAAAGATGGAGATGTAGGAATTTGTATTGAACTGCCATTTGCAAAGCACATTTAACTATTGTAAACCCATAATTTGCAGACCCAGAATATGTATTTTTGCGTAATTTTGTAACACGATAAGAAACACATCTTTGCTGACAAGTTTTTCGCAGATGTTTGCAAAATCGAATGGGTGCAATTAAATAGTATATTTTTTATTTTGCTAACATATCTGTTTAAAACTCTCTTTTACCTGACAATGTTTACAATTTGGGGTAATGTACAGTGAGGGAAAAAAGTATTTGATCCCCTGCTGATTTTGTACGTTTGCCCACTGACAAAGAAATTATCAGTCTATAATTTTTATGGGAGGTTTATTTGAACAGTGAGAGACAGAATAACAACAACAAAATCCAAAAAAACGCATGTCAAAAATGTTATAAATTGATTTACATTTTAATGAGGGAAATAAGTATTTGACCCCCTCTCAATCAGAAAGATTTCTGGCTCCCAGGTGTCTTTTATACAGGTAACGAGCTGAGATTAGGAGCACACTCTTAAAGGGAGTGCTCCTAATCTCAGCTTGTTACCTGTATAAAATACACCTGTTCACAGAAGCAATCAATCAATCAGATTCCAAACTCTCCACCATGGCCAAGACCAAAGAGCTCTCCAAGAATGTCAGGGACAAGATTGTAGATCTACACAAGGCTGGAATGGGCTACAAGACCATCGCCAAGCAGCTTGGCGATAAGGTGACAACAGTTGGTGCGATTATTCGCAAATGGAAGAAACACAAAAGAACTGTCAATCTCCCTCGGCCTGGGGGCTCCATGCAAGATCTCACCTCGTGGAGTTGCAATGATCATGAGAACGGTGAGGAATCAGCCCAGAACTACACGGGAGGATCTTGTCAATTATCTCAAGGCAGCTAGGACCATAGTCACCAAGAAAACAGTTGGTAACACACTACGCCGTGAAGTACTGAAATCCTGCAGCGCCCGCAAGGTCCCCCTGCTCAAGAAAGCACATATACATGCCCGTCTGAAGTTTGCCAATGAACATTTGAATGATTCAGAGGACAACTGGGTGAAAGTGTTGTGGTCAGATGAGACCAAATTGGAGCTCTTTTGCGTCAACTCAACTTGCCGTTTTTGGAGGAGGAGGAATGCTGTCTATGACCCCAAGAACACCATTCCCACCGTCAAACATGGAGGTGGAAACATTATGCTTTGGGGGTGTTTTTCTGCCAAGGAGACAGGACAACTTCACCGCATCAAAGGGACGATGGATGGGGCCATGTACCGTCAAATCTTGGGTGAGAACCTCCTTCCCTCAGCCAGGGCATTGAAAATGGGTTGTGGATGGGTATTCCAGCATGACAATGACCCAAAACACACGGCCAAGGCAACAAAGGAGTGGCTCAAGAAGAATCAGATTAAGGTCCTGGAGTGGCCTAGCCAGTCTCCAGACCTTAATCCCATAAAAAAATCTGTGGAGGGAGCTGAAGGTTCGAGTTGCCAAATGTCAGCCTCGAAACCTTAATGGCTTGCAGAAGATCTGCAAAGAGGAGTGGGACAAAATCCCTCCTGAGATATGTTCAAACCTGGTGGCCAACTACAAGAAACGTCTGACCTCTGTGATTTCCAACAAGGGTTTTGCCACCAAGTACTAAGTCATGTTTTGCAGAGGGGTCAAATACTTATTTCCCTCATTAAAATGCAAATCAAAACATTTTTGACATGCGTTTTTCTCGATTTTGTTGTTGTTATTCTGTCTCTCACTGTTCAAATAAACCTACCATTAAAATTATAGACTGATAATTTCTTTGTCAGTGGGCAAACGTACAAAATCAGCAGGGGATCAAATACTTTTTTCCTTTACTGTATATATTGGCCACGTGCTTGTTTGTTTACTTGCTTTGACGTTTGCTATTAAATATAAATTCTCATAACTCCATTATAGAGGTGGTGACATAACCTAGTGGTAGCGCTTTCGCCACTTGTTGCAGAGATTCACGGTTCCAATCGAGCAGCTACCCTGATTATTACTGCGCGTGCATTAACCAAATATTATGCGCCGTCTGCTTCGGTGAACGTGAAACATTCTGTGGTGTCATTCGTGAGGGTGCCTCGTGTCGGCGTCATGGTCAAAGTTACAGTAGACTCTCGGTTATCCGCGTGCGGTTTATCCAATTTGCGGATTAACCGAGCACTTGCGTTTTTGACAAATTTATAAATCATGGATTTTCCCTTCAGCCCAAATTAATAATCTGAAAACAGTTATACATTGCTATTCTTGTAAATGTTTATTACAAGTAACGTAATTAAACCAGACATGCATGTGCTCCGGTTGATCCGAAATCCATGTGATCACCTCTACAGCACAGTAATTGCATAGCTTTACAACAGTTAGCGGAGTTTGATTGACGTTGATTGGCATGGCTCTGCTATCCACTAATTGGGCTGAGTCTTATGAGTGGTAGCAGGTAAGTGTTATCACCGAGCATGTGCATCGATCAGTAATTTATACCTATATTTGCGGTTTTTGGCACAGAAATCCACGGAAAATTAATATTTTTGGATTACCACAATTTTGAATTATCCGCGGCTGTCCTCCACATCATTAGCGTGGATAATCCAGTCACCTGTACATAGCAATCGTCACCCCCTCCTGCACAATCTTGGCATGACCCTCCTGAAAAAAAATCTACAATCATCATGTATAGCGGAGTGTTGGCTATGACATGGTATTTAAATTTGACTTATGTTTGATTTGGCAAGCATACATTTCAACACTTGACTGCATTTTCAGATGTTGGTATAAGTACTAGCATGTACAAGATTGACTTTATTGCAGCATCATTATATGAATAAGCAGGGTTTCGGCTGTTCCCTTGTCTGGCACACAGATGCAAGTTTACCAGACACAAGGGAGCAGCACCACCACAGCCCTGCCTGGCTGCGCCCCCCTCTACCAGTCTCCCATGACGCCCATGACTCCCATGACACCTATCACGCCGGCCTCTGAGAGCTCGGGTATCGTTCCACAGCTACAGTACGTAACACAGCACCCCGGCTCAATATCCCGATGAGACAGTAATACTTGCAGTTATGAATGTAAATTGTTATGCTTTAGATGCAAGTGAAATATTGCTGGGATCCAGAACACCCTTCTTCTGCTCCACACCCCCCCCCCCATCTGGTGTCTGCTCAACATCAGGTTTCTGTTCTGTTGGTGGCCAAATGGATTTGGAAGTGATGTACTGGCCTCAAAGGCCATGTTTGGCATTTTGCTGCGACGCTGAATGTCGGGAAAATTGGTGCATTAGCCTAACAATGGGGTTGTTGAGACTGAGCATATGTTCAAAGAAGCTGGCCAAATGTGGGTTGTGTGTGTGCTGGTATTAATAATGGGATGGATACAAATATAGAGCTGCATCCTAGTTCTTTTTTATGATCCACCAGATTTGGATCCAAGGACCTGAATTCATTGGATCCATTAATTTATTGTGCACTGTCAGAGGTAGGGGCGAGGGGGAAGTGAAGCAGGAGGGGGTCTAGGCCTCTGTAAAGGTGGAATCTTTGCATGCATGAATTGTTTGTGACTGTGTAGATGGCATATTTTATGTTACTGTCGTGGATATTCTACATGTGAGTTTTAGATTTAAGCTGTGTGTACTCTTATCATGCACGTGTATGCATTTATGTGTTTTATTTATTTGTACATATTTATTTCTCAGAGTTGCTGAAGACAGTCCCAAAGGCCTGTTATGCAATGTGGCCAACAAGGGAGATCACCCTTGAGTTACGGTCTAGGAGCTAAGACTTTTCTTGAATTGAGCACGTTTTAGGAAAAGAGACTGAGAGGGAGTTCCAAAGTTGAGGACAAACAGATGGAGGAAGCGAAAAATGTTGCGTCTCTCAATTTTTGGTGGTTGACCGCAGTGTGGATGGAAAGAAACGGTAGATCCTAATCTTCTGGGCTGTGGTTGGCCAGTAGACGGTAGTACAGAAAACTACAGACCTTTGTGTATGTGATTGATTCTGAGCGTTCCTTCATTTGTGAGCTTTTTTCCGGGCACTCCTGCTTTTCTCCCACGTACACAATGCTCGTTAAGTAATTGGCCAAATGTTGTGGGATGCTCCTCAAAGAGTTGAATGTAAAACCACAAGCAATTTCCATCGTTTCATGAAATTGATTGCAATTATTCCATTTTTTTATTTAATTATGTCCGTAACATTTAAGAGTATTTGTGAATGGTAGTAAATATGCTCACCTATATCTTGTTTTTGTTTCATTACCAGGAACATAGTATCCACAGTCAACTTGTGTTGTAAGCTGGACTTGAAGAAAATTGCACTTCACGCGAGAAACGCCGAGTACAATCCCAAGGTACAAATATCAGATAAGGTTATTTGAGTTCATCGTTATTACAGCTTGGAACTAGGTTATACGTGGCACATGGATCACGTGGAGCCCTGGCAGCTTGGTCCCGTTGGCACTAACCTACCGGCCTGCGGTGTCTTCCCCAGCGCTTTGCCGCGGTGATCATGAGGATCCGTGAACCCAGGACCACGGCGCTCATCTTTAGCTCCGGCAAGATGGTGTGCACAGGTGCCAAAAGGTATACTTCTGCCTCGCCACGTGTCATGTGTGTGTGTCTATGATTAAATTATCCATAAAACTTGATTACCCGCGATATTGTCAGTCTTTTGAAAACAATGTATCTGCATACCATTTGAACGTTCGTGTTTTAAGGATTATCTCGAACGTTGTTTATCAAACTCCAGTCTTTGACACCCCGCAATAGTTGTCCATGATTACCAACCATCAGGTGCATAGTGTGCAGTTGGTTAATTTTCAAATGAATACAAACGAGTGGTAAACATTAAAAGGTGAACTGTGAAGAGTTGTGAGGACCAGCGTTTGAGGGACACCCATCTATAGCACTGATGTGCTGCTAGGAGTTCACTCGCCGCGAATTCTAATGCGTGTTCCGCTATCTGTGGTTGTGGTTTTACAAACGCAGTGAAGACCAGTCCCGTCTGGCAGCACGCAAGTACGCACGCGTTGTACAGAAGTTGGGCTTCCCCGCCAAGTTCCTTGACTTCAAGATCCAGAATATGGTGGGCAGCTGCGATGTCAAGTTTCCTATCCGCTTGGAAGGGCTGGTGCTTACACACCAGCAGTTCAGCAGGTGAGCAGTCACTGGTATCCGTAGCCCTTTGCAGAGCTCAGCTTTTCCATGCTTATTGGTGAACAGTCAGCTGACTCACCATCGTGGAGGACTCTTTATAAACGGTTCGTTTATTGGCAGGAAGCTGGATGGCCAATTTAGCTTAGCTTCTGTCGATTTTTCTGGAATGTAACCCTAACCTGCTTATCAACAATTAGATAGAGTTTTGCATGGGGTCACGAGAGAACCTGGTAAGAGAATTTGTGAATAATTGGAATTGCCCTTGGAGATTATGAACTGTCCTTGGTTCATGTAATTTATACCGCTTGTCCCGGGGATCTCCTCCCCTGTGCCACAAGTGTGTGTTTACACATGTACATTTTTTGTTGTTGATTCACTGCTGAATGAGGGTCTCCTGAAGCCTGTGCAGGTCATGGGGCTTACTTGACACAATCTCACCACGTGGGTCAGTGAAGGCGGGGGGGCATAGATGTGGAAGCTGAAGAGTACAGTACAACAAAATATGTTGCTGCGCTGCCCTCTGATGCCCACCAAGAAGCCCCGCAAAGCTCGATGACATCCTGTTTGTTGCACGATGACTCCCCAAGCACTATCTTGGCTCAAACCTGCTTAGCTTCTAAAATCTAACAAGATTTGACACATTTATGGGTGATTAGGCCATAGGTAGATATGTTTTGTATATGTATTAAAAAATAATAATAATGCCCATGTTAAAGTTCAAATATGTCCCCTTTCCACTGGTGTGTCATAGCTACGAACCGGAGCTCTTTCCTGGACTCATCTACCGCATGGTGAAGCCTAGGATTGTGCTGCTCATATTTGTGTCTGGAAAGGTGGTGCTCACAGGTAATGCCAGGGATGGTTTGGGAAGTGGTAGCCTGATGCTAATTATGTTTGAGAAAAGTGTGCATTATGTCTGCCTTGCAAACACTACATTTTTATCGTTGAATAAGTGCAGTGAACTTTAAAATTAATAAATGTTTATCCTCTCAAGGTTTATTTGAATGTTAAGTAGTTTGCATGTGTTATCCAAACTGTTGGCAATATCGCTTTCAATAATGTAAAATGTGGTATCAAACTGTTAGTCAATACCATACAGAAGGACCATCACCGCTCAGAACATTAAACTACAATGCATTTTTCTGTTATAAGATAGTGTTAATGATGAATACATTTAATAATATTGTATTTATTTTACACCACTGACAATACACTTGTACCAAAGCACTTAATTCTAAATAGTTATAAAGCTCTGTCACAATCGAGTAATTTAACTGGTAAAGTTAATCAACTTTGTCAAATTCCTTGAACGTTATCATACGTTTCACATCTTTTGGTGGCGCTCTAAAAATTATTGGTGGAAATCAAGTTGGGTTCACAACGTCCAGTGGGACAATGTATGCACTCAATGTATTTAATGTCCACCAGCGTGGACTGGTACTAGACTTGGTGCCCTATATATCCTAAACATGACTGCCACACGTGGAAATATAGGTCACCCATCATTTATATTGTTCTTTCTGTATCTGTGCCCTCTTTGTCTCCCTGGTCCTGCTATTTCCACCTCTTTCCCTTCACCATGTTCTCTGCTCTACACATCATGTGTTGTATTCTCTGTTATCCTCTCTCTTATGCAATATTCTAACACTGCAATATCTTACTGTTCATGTCAGAATTTGTCTTGTTGCCACTTCTAAAGTATTGAGATACGGTCATATCTAGAAGTGTTATGAGTTTAAAGTTTATATTATTATTTACGTATTTTGCTTGCAATGTTTTATGCATGCAGGTGCCAAGGTACGCGGGGAGATCTACGAAGCCTTTGAAAACATCTACCCTATTCTGAAGGGCTTTCGAAAAACAACGTAACATAAATCAACTGGGATGGAAACAATAAAACCCAGAATTCCTCACCAGTGATCTGTCAAGCACAAGTCATGGAGGCTTAAGTATTGCCTACAGATCGGATCTGGATGTACATTTGTCTATAACACACTTTTGTACTTTAATATGAAGACAATGTTAGCGATCATTTTACAAACGCTACCTACGTCGGGTTTAGCTTTCCGACACTGGTAGCATTTGGATGTTTATTTGCCACTTGTTTCTTTTTAGACTTTTTTTTTACTTGTTTTCAAATTTAATTTTACATTTCTGCCTACGTTCCAAAGAAACAAGTGTGACTGAATGTTGTGGCATGATGTGGAATCTACTTTGTTCCTCACTCCTCGGACAGTGTAATAGGCCTGCAATTACTAATAAACTCATTGTAACACATTCTCTTGCAATATATTACTGTAAATAATGCGAAGGCATACCAGAACATTGCCTATACCTATTACGCACAGGTAGATTTGAAGCCTGCCTGATTGCTGTACTGGCTGTGGTGTCTATAAGGGGCAGTATTACCAGCAGGTTATTGACAAGCTATCTGGACAGAGATTTAAGTGTTCTCACGTGGGACTCGAGACACACTGACTTTTTCACAAGGTGAGACATAAAGTCGCTTCTGAAAGCAACCTGTAATGAGTACATTGCAGCATACTTGCAACAGAAGAACATGCAGAGCTAAGGGATCGACAGTTCTACAGAGAGTAATTGAAATGCTTAACGGAGTTGAACACAACTCTCAAGCATGCAAAAAAATCGAAGCATATCAAATGTAAAAACATATCACCATCATAAAACAATTGCTCTTGGACATACCATATAAAGTATCCAGTTTGTCACATCCAATTTAGAGGGAATAAATGTTGACTGCAAGTAGGGACGTGGGTTGTTTCCAGAATGCGCTGCGTACTTGAGTGAACATTCTTCAAATCTCGTGCTAACTTTTGGTACATGGAAGTGGGACTTTTGTATTGAGATTTACATCAGGTGAAGTCCAGTAGAGTAATACCCCGGTTTACGTTGGGGATGCGTTTCTGAAAGGTGCGACGACAAATATCGAAACCACGTTAATGGAAGCGATTTACAGGGTGAGCTGTGGAAGCGGAAGGCTGAGAGGCGACGGGTGCTGTCAGAGACGTAAGTGTGGGCTGAGACGGCGCAAATCGGGCCGTGCTATTAATAAAGTGACCGTATTTGGGAAACGACTTAGAAGGGGGAGACGTACATCGGAGTATTTTCTGTATAAGCACACAAGGTAAACGTACAAGTAGATCTTGATTGATTTGAAAACATGTCAACCAATTTATTTTTCTGTCGGAACAAGGAAAGGTAACGTGGTTTGGAATTGAATCGCATTCAAGAACAGCAGTCGTTATTTAGAATCGTACACATGGTGTCTAAGCCATTCAGAGCGGTGCTGTGAGCGGACCTTGTCAATCACTACACCATAATCATTGGCAATGAAGGTGCTTACAACAATGTGTTTGCGAGTGGAGAATGGGAAATATGTGAATAATAAACATAACTTGATTGTTCTGTGATATTTTGTTTGTGTACTGAAGTACAAATGAGAGTAGAGTCAGATTCCCAGATGTTTGTAGGATTTAACATTTTTGAGGCTAGAGACAGACACGGTGTGCTTATGGAAATTGTGCCATGATCGGAGATCAGGGGACTTGCGGCGAAGAAAATACATGTATTTCTACTTGCTTTCAGGATACATTTTAAATGAGATCCTGTTGAACAGGATTGGAGTGAAATTCAAATGTATTTTGAACTTCAACTACCCAGAGGTAGGTTTATGTATGATCACATCTGTTGCATACAAGTGCATTTCTGAGCATATAAATCTTGTGTCGACATTATTTATGTAAATGTAAAACAAAAGTAGAGGTAATTGTACTGCACCAAGAGGAACCCGCTTGGGGGTCGAAGAGAAAATCTTTTAGAATTGTAAGCGCTTTCTTGTCTTTATGCAGTTGGAAACCAAACCAAGGGCCTTTTTCTGTTTTCGGAGTTTATTTTGAGGGTTGATTTTTGAGTCACCAGTGTCAAATGTTTTTGATGTAAGGAACCGAACATTTTTCTTATCTGGAAAGGTAACTGAACTTGAGGTGGCTGTTTTTTTACAGGTGGCCATGATATAAAGCCTCAACGGCTTGAGTTGTATGAACCCTGACCCTAAATGTAAACATTGCTTTTGTACTATTTCTTTTTCAAATATTTCTGACAAATTCACAGACTCTAGATTGTCTGTTTCACCTTTATGTATTGCGCGATCAGAAGTACATTCTAACAGTTTGGGTACTAATTGACTTTAAAAACGTTTTACTGGGATTGGAATGTAACTGCCAATCGCAAGTGTCGGTGGTATAGCATCAAATCCAGCCGAATGGTAATGATTCAAAGAGGCTAGGGCATGAGCTATCCTAAAAGGGGGTTGTAACGTAAGGTGACAAATAGCTGCGGTTTCTGAAGGTGGGTTGCCTCCACGGCTCGAGCCCGTGGAGAGCCGTGACGAGGCCGCGCAATGAGTATTGAGGACCTGTATAAGATGCTCTCTCACACGCGGCATAGTCATTTGCAGAGGCTGAAGGAGACAATGCAATGATGATGGAGTTGTGAATAAATCTCTGGTGGCAAACCAAAATGTTTTCGGATCCTTGTTTTGAATTGTTCACTGCTTTAATAATAATTATAAAGTAACTTGATCACAATTGTGCAAAGGTCCCTGAGTCTTAAGTTGTATGATGATTTAGTTTTCCTATAGTATGCTGCAGGAATTTAAATGTTTATTTTTTCGGATTGAAGAGTAGAAAGCTCCAGATATGACACTTGAAAGTAGTAAATACCGTACTGTAATTTGCTCCGTTAAAATAACTTAGAGGTTTGCAGTAACAGAGTACGCCACACTGGGGCGTGCGCGTGCAAGATAACTCCTGTGCAGTAGTAATATGTAAGTGCAGCATGTGCGTTTACCAAGGACTTTTATGACAAGGTGGGAGTATTGGAATCAATTTTAAATCGATGAATCCATGCATCTTTCAGTTTAACACGTCGGCTTTCGCGACGAATATCCATAATACAGGTTTTTTTGGTTGAGATCACGTAAACATATAAATGTGTCGTTATACCCACCACCACCCGACAGCCAATTAGTAAGGTTTGTCACGTAAACAAAACATGACAATTCGTTACTAGAGGCCATCCATTTAGTAAGTACGTGTGGAGGGGGAGTTAAGCCAAATGCGTACGCTTGTGTATGGGGGTCTACTGACAATGTGCGTACGCATAGAAAGTGGGGTGAAGCATTGGCCTTCAAATTAGATAGTCCGGCGGTGCACTATCTGTTGCTTAAACACGTTGATATTATTAATCCTTGGTCGTTTCTGCGTGGATTGAATATCGGAAGTTCTATGGGATTCGGGAGGGGGGTGCGTCAAGCGTATGTACGCAGGTGGGGGGGGGGGGGGGCGTGTAAAAAGTACGTGTGCGTACAGGGAGGGGGGGAAGGGTCAAGTTTTGACAGATTTTTGCGTACGTACTAAATTGATAGCCCCCTAGTCACCTAGTGTAATGGCAGCCAACCTGCGGTGTGCGTGGACTCGTGACCACGGGAGATAATGACGGGAGTCAGCCGACACTGCGAATGGACTAGTGGCCACTGGAGGTAATGACGGGTGTCAGCTTTCAGTACGAAGGGACTAGTGGCTACGGGAATGATCGAGAATAGGATCGTGGCCAGGTGACAGAATAGGACGGTAGAGTCTGCTGGTGGAGCGAGCGGTCTAGAGCCAGCGAGAAGGTTCGGGAATGGGGGCGTGGCCTCGGACCGTATTAAAGGAAGATGCGTGGGAGACTCGGGGCTGTTGCAGTGGGGACTCCGCCCGATCGAGTGAACGTGCCTACAATAAAGAAACCATTTCAAGACAAGTGTGTCAAGTCATTACACTCGTACAGCACACCGATGTGTTGGAGAGCCAAGCCACAACATTTACAATCTGAGTACGACGTTTCGCCAGTAATTACAACTAGCTTCATCAAGCGACATCCAGATTTGGCTGTACCAGTAACGAATTGACATGTTCTATTTACGTGACAAACTAGAGGCCGACCGAAATTCGGTTTCGGCGCTGAAAGTTTGCAAATTGCCTCTTTCGGCATACTTTCGGTTTCGGCCGAAAGCAAATTTTTTACTTTCGATCTGGTTTCGGTTTCGGCCGAAACTGATATTGACTTTCGGTCATCATTCGTCAACCGAAGATCTATTTTTAGAATATAACGATATCACTTTGCCTATCGCCCGGTCAGTCGGCGCTAGGCAATCCTATGCGATAGGCTGCAAACACACACGTCAGCAACTGCAACCATGGTCTGCTAATGTATATGTAGGGGTGATACGCGCTGGCAGTAGGGATCGTGGGGCAGCGCGTGGTGATTGGCTGTATAGTGGTGACGCGCGCTGACAGTGATGGATCGTGTGGCAGCGCGTGCTGATTGGTTGTGTGCGCTGACACGAGCTGGGAAAAGGGATCGTGTAGCAGCGCGTGGTGATTGGTCAACTAGGGTGGTGCTCACATCGACGTCCGCATAGGCTTCGTCTCCCCGGGAGCGGAGGACTCTAAAAGGCGATGCGCGCGGGCGCTCGGGGAGTTGGTGACCAGTGAAGACGGAAGACGGAGGAGGAAGAGATAGGGCCCTGAGACCCCTAGTCCCGCTGTCCTTGTAAGGGCCGGGACCCTGTGTGGCTCAGAGGCGGGACCTTGGGACCCGGGGCCGGACGTCCGTGTGAGGGCCGGGCCACGGGACCCAGTGGTCGCGACCCATACCCAAGCTGGGGTGGGTCTGTAGGTTCCCCTGGAAGCTACGGGGCTGGAGAGCCCGTGTGTGTGTAGCCGGGTGGAACGTGTAGCGTGAGCTGTAGTGACCACACGTGTCGGGTGGAACGTGTAGCGTGAGCTGTAGTGACCACACGTGTCGGGTGGAACGTGTAGCGTGAGCTGTAGTTGTCCACACGTGTTATTGTGCACAATGAAAGAGTTAATAAAGTGTGCTACCCGTCAAGTGGTCTCCCGCCGTAATTTACAATATTACAACTGGCGTCAGAAGTGAAACAGTCTTCCAGCCATGGATACCAGGAAGACTCATCGGACTCACGAGCGTGACCGGGAGGAAAACCACGACGACTCGGGCCAGCAGGCATCGGGGGGAGAAGAGGAAGAGATGCCGGCGCCACAGGACCCCTCATGGGCGCCCAACGAGCCGCTGGGGGCTGATGCCGGACTCCGCGACGCGCACTCCCGCCTGGCAGAGCTGCTATTCGCCGCGGCGTCCATCCTAGCGGAGATCACCACGGCTGGAGAAGCGAGAACGCCGATGGACATTGAAAGGGGTCGCGTTGCAGATTCCCGCCAAAATGACTTTGAAATTCCCGCCATTTCTGGCGAGCGACCATCTGTTGGCGGGAATCGCGAGCAACACGTGGCGGGGGTCCTCCAATCTCTGCCGCTCACGTCATCAGCGGGCGCTACGGGCCGCCATCAGCCACCCGCCACAGGGGCCGCCATTTTGCATGTCGACGGTGCGGCGCGGGAGAGTCACGAAGCGGAGGACGACATTATTTTCCAGCAGCGTCTTCCCGCGTTGACAGCCTTCAAAGCGGAAGGGGGTGACTGGGGCGCATTCCAGCGAAGATTTCTCGCCCATCAAGAGATGTCGGCCTGGTCCGACGCTACGGTGCTGCGGGCACTGCCTGCCATGTTGGACGACGACGCACTCGCGGCCTTCAGGTCCGCACCGAGATCGGCTCGCTCCACGCTCAAGGCTGCGCTGGGCCTCATGGCCAAGGTGTACGGGCCACCTTCAGCCTGCCGCCACCAATTTTACGAACGACGGAAGGCGGACACGGAGACCGCGCTCGCCTACCGCACGCCGCGTTCCCTCGTATGGACGAGGAGGGGCAGGACGCTATGGTTTTGGAACAACTGCTGAAGTTGGCGCACGACCTGGGGGTCCCCATCAACACAGCCGATGAAGTCGACATATGTTCGTTGCGTGTTGCGACGAGCATCCAGGCGCACGAGGTCCTGAAGCGGAAACAAGTGGTCGTCTGTGCTTCTGCCGCGGTCTCAGCTCCGGCCCTGGTGGACGCCGAGCCCCAAGTCATTCACCCACGGGAGGAGGCGTTCGCTGCAGCACGACCAGGGGATTGGAGGTCGGGGGGTCGTTCGCCTCTGCGATCGACCCGCAAGCTGGAGCAACCGAGACCTCCGACGTCCCTCGTCACGTGCTACAACTGCGGCCTTCGGGGCCACGTGGCGTCCGGGTGCCACGCTCCACGTCAGCACGCCACGGCACCTCGGCTGGACGACGACCAAGGCCCCAAGTCATCCCAAC